AAGCGGTAGCAGCTCACAGTTGGTACCTCACCTGCTATCTCTTCAGAAACTACCTTCTTTCTGCATTCACAGTAGCAGCTGCATATCTTCATATTTAAGCTCTAGCTAACCATATTTCTGTCCAGTCATCATTCTTTCACTCCTTTCCTGAAAGCTGTTAAGCTTCACAAAATTGTAACCATATACTTGGTTTCACCTTTGACTTGCAGCTTAGATACTAGATCTAGATGAGAGAGCCAACTAAAAATCTTTTGTTTTTCTTTTTGGACAAGTTTCCTTTTCTATCCACCCCACAGGAAACCTTGCAAGACAAGGGAGGTCTTGCATGCAATTCAACTCTGTTTAACTTTTGGATGTGATTTTGCCCTCTCCAGAATGACTGAGAACACCTTCTTCTGCAGACTACTGCCTCATTTAGATACTACCCTCCTCTATATTACTGCTCCAAGGTTTTCTGTTTCCCCATCAGTCTCTAGTGCATGGGGTGGAGGGTGGGGGCTGGTGGTGTGTGTGTCAAGTGGAAAACAAGTTTGGTTAACACTATTTGTTTATTCACATTTTACACACCTCCTCTCAGATCTCTTTTGAGTAGGACAAGCTACCAATGCACATCAATAATGCTTTCTTATTTTTCCTCAATACCTAGTGGAACTAACAATAAAAATCTGACCATTTCTCAGGGACTGATATTTTGAGAATAGGGACTGTCATGCTGACAAATACTTTCCTCCGTTGCTTTAGCATGGAGCCTTTGTATTCTAAAAGCGGCTACCATGACAGAATCCTAGGATATAATTAAGATTTCTATGTGTTTTAAAATATGAAGGATAACCCAGGATGTTACCATGCAATAGAGCTCCTATTGCAAGAGTTTAGTAATTTAGACTGGCGGTTAGTTTATGTTAAAAGTGAGGAGAGTGTCTTGTGCTCACTAGATCTCATTTTGTTTAATTTAAAAGAACTAGGCAATTTCCCCTCCCTCAGCACATAATGCAGATCAAGGCTGACAAGGATCTAAAGTAATGCTACAGCTGCTTAGCTCTTCCCTTGCATTAAGTTCTGCATTCATTTCTGCTCTAGTCTGTATTTCTATTTTATAATGAAACATACAGCCTAGTTATTTATAGGCTTTCTAAGGATTAACTACACACTCATAAGAATAAACCCTCAAGAGGTTAACCTCATCCTCTTAAGCTTCACACACTACAATCCCAGAGATAGCTGGCAACCACAGCCAAGAGAGAAAAAATAATCCCACATCTTGCTAATCCTTTAGCCAATCACTCATGCAACAGTAGAGAGGCCTCTCAGAGGCCAACAACTCAATCTATCTCGGGAGCACTGTCAATAATCCAAAAGATACATATTTCACTGAATCATTAGCAACCCACCTCAAAAGGCAAAATAAGGCATACCTGGCTTCTCAGTGGTATGCTGAAATCATGTATCAAAAATGCAATGCAAAAGTAAGTTTCCAGTTTGCTGCTTGCATTTCTTATTCATATAGTTAGCATATTCCACCAATTAAACTAGTTTATTGAGCAGAAAGTAAATCTAGTAAATTTTGCATTCACACCTAGACATACCAATTCAACTGTCCCTTACAGTTAATAATATGAACTTTTGAGTACCTGAAAAGTACAAGAAAAAAAAGAACCACTCACAAAGGAACGAAAAAACCCTTTCAAGTTAAACCATAATAATCTACCTTATTATTTCAATACCATGATCTGTATTTTTCCTTAACCCTAGAAGACGACACTGCCCACCTGCAGCAATGCCAAGGATTTAGTTATGGGTGCACTTATTTTTTTAGTCTAAGGTTTCTGCTTTGCTTATTATCTATCTAATGAAATTGCTACTTCATTCTAATACAAATGTCTTTTTAAAAAATTGAAAAGGAGGTTGTTTAGCTACACTGCTACCCCATGGCTGAAAGTTAAACCCTTCAAGAACATGCAGGGTAAGTACAAGGTCAGTGAATGACTCTTAATAATCCAATATCATCCATGTTTTTTTCCTGAAGTAAAAATTTCTAATCAACACATAGGATTAGCACTGCTTGCAAGCCCACTGAGCCCAACCATTAAGCTTTTTTTTAAAGAGGTGTCAATTTATTCATTCTGCTTTGTATGTGCTTAACATACACCAATTCCAAAGCCTAGCTTTGGACTTCGAAGGCAAATTCTCTGAAAAATCTCAGTCCTGTGAGACTCTAAGTCTCTACCCTCACAATCTGTTCTCTAATAGGCCACCATCTTTTTAATTTGAAATAAAAAAAGTATAAAATAAAAATAGTTCAAAACCATTTTGCATTTCAAAACATTATTCCCAGTAATTAGTCTTTGTTCCCTTCCAAAATTCACACAGCAGAAACAGAATTGCTCTAACTCAAGTAAGCCAATTGCAAAACTCTTGAATTGTCTAGTGTCACGGAACAATGGCCTATATGAACAGAAAGGAAAGAGGAGGAAAAAAACCAAATCCTGGAAAAAATGCAGAATTTTATTTAGTCAAGGGAAACCATACAAGTGAACATGAGCTAGGAAAATTAAACTTTCCTTCTATCCTCAAAATTTATCATAAATAAGTATCCTCAGTAGCATGAACCAGAGGCTACTTGATTGCATCCTCTACCATTACAAATTGGTCCAGCCTATTTGCATTCTAAAAACACGTTTCATGACCTTTCATGCTCATAATAGGTATCTAAACTGTTAAATTACTGTATCTTTTCTTATCTTGAAAGGCCTTAGCAGCATGGCCCTTCCACAGTTCTTTACACTAAGTTGGGTCCCTGAACAATACTGACAGCTGCTATCAAACTGTGCTGTGCTCAGCCTCAGTGCAGCTGCTGCTTGTAGGAACAGACAAGCCTCTGATGTGTCCTCCACTCTGGGGAAAGGGCTTGACACCCTTAGTGCTCAGTGAGGGGGAGCAAAGGTCCACTGAATTGTCAACCTGATTTTACGCTATTCAGATTTTCCAGGACACACACCATCCCTTTCAAACAAACCCAAGCATATGTCAGAGCATGAAACTTATTGTGCAGCACGAGATAACTATTGATTAATAAGACCACAAAAGATGACTGGGATGTACCTCTAATTTCAGCATTATGTATATGCATGCATCTACATGGTGTAACAAACTTTGTGCCCAGTGTATTAATTTCCTCATTCACAGTTTTGGATTTGTATCGCATCATTCGGAATTCTTTCAAAAGACAGGGGGAAGTATCTCTTTAGGTGAAATATTAGACAATTAAAAACCAAAAAAGGTGGAGGCTTCTATTCCAAAGAACATCCGTCCACTCTCAAAAAAAAAAATTAATTGCATGTGATATTTGTAGATCCTATGGCTTTTAAAAGACTATGTTGTGCAGACATAAAAAGAAGCACATGACAAGCCTGAGAGAGCAAAATTTGGTTTGTGTAAGTAGCACTATCCCAAGTAGAGCAAGAATGTTTTTGTATATATTTTAATACATATTTTCTTTTGCTGCATAAACTCTTCTTTAGAACTAGTTCATTAAAAGGGACTTCCATTCTATTTGCATCCTAATTAAGTAATTCGTTTTTAAAAATACAAGAAAGTATAGTTCAATCTTTGTTAATCAAATACTACAAGTGTACATGTGCAGTATTTCAAAGATCAAATCAGGTATTCATAAAGTAATTCATTACACAAGCAAAGCATTGAGGAGAGTCTGACAAATACAGATGTAATTGTGTTGGGTTTCTAAGATGTGATTAGCAAATCAACTAAGTAACAGTCAAAATTTGATAGGAAGGAAAAACAGCACAGATTTGAAGGGGGGGTATGTTTATGCAAAGCTAATCTGTCAAGTGTAATAAAGCAGCTTGAATAAAATTTAAGCTGAAAATCCACTGAAGCTCCCTATTTCAGGGAGGAAAAGCTATTAAAAGGAAATGAAGGTCACCCTCCCAGTTTATTTCACCTAATTGACTGCCAATAGCTTACCACAGGCAAACCGACTGCAGATCTGCAATTGAGAAACTGATGAAAGGAGAGTTTTCAAGCTGAGGCTCATTCTTTTAATCCTCCTTCACTCCTATTTTTTTTTTTTTCATCTCCAGTTGGGATGTAATTTTAAGCACAGATGGATTAACTGGTTCCATTGTCTGTAGACGTCACCGGACTATGGCACTGTTAATCCGTACAGCAGCATGTCTAATTATCATTACAAAGTGTCTGAGGGAACTATAAAGACCAGCAGGGCATCTTCTCACAAGCAATTAACATAAATTGATAAACGAGTAATTTGAATCCGCTCAAGGCAGATGAATTTTATGAATAAAATCAGAAAGGACAGGTTCTTGTTTCGGCTACTTCTTTTACTTAGTCTGGAAGGGCACAAAACATGAGAAATATTCTACGCTTAGTGGCAGGAGAAATGAACTCATACAGTGGAAGGAATGTATGATTCAAAAAGTTCATTAATACAAAGCAAATGACTTGTGATTGACAACCAGTCACAAGCAAGTAGTATTAACTTTTTTAACATATTTAAAAGCACATTCTTGGTGAAAGGCTATTAGAACACTGTGTCAGACAATTAATACTACTTCAAAAGCAAGTGAAGTTTCTATTCAGTAGCTTGCTAATTTAAAATTCATGAAAGATTCACAAGAGATGGGAAAAAAAGAAGAATGAATAGTTGTACAGGCTCCAAGAACTCAAGTGTCACAAAAAGCAAGAGGCAAAAGTAACTAGATCAACTGACATGTAAAACCTATAAATAAACAAGCAACTCTCCTAATAATTATATTTCTTGCATGGAAAGTTTTGTTATGCGCAGCATTGCTGAATAAAATGATGTTCTGACAAAGTAAACTATTGCCTTTACTCCTGCTAAAATCTGTGTGAAGCAGAAACACTTCAGCAACATTTGACATCAAAACAATGTTAAATATCAAGACTTTAAGTTTATTTTTAAAATAACAAAGCTGTAAGATATAAAAGCAAGTTATACACACTGTAGGAGGTAGACCTGGAAGGCCACGTACCCCGATGATGGCATTCAGTTCAGCCATGGTCACTTGTTTGGCACGTTCTACAGCTTGGGCCACTTGTTGCTGATGCTATTAAAAGAAGAAAGGGTATGGGGAGGAATTTTTGTTAAAGTATTGACCACACCAAATCAAGCCAGGATCACAAACACTTGAATAACCAGTTTGAATGCGGAAGCCCAGCCTACCTATAGCAAGACATCTTATGCAGGTAAAAAAGGTAACAGTGCCCTACTTATCACCTGTTCAGAGGGAAACGAGCCCTGAAGGCAGACAGTTTATCTCTTACCCCATGCCACTTCAATATTAATTTTCTGGCAAATGAATAATCATTTTAACTAAGCTGGCAGGACAATAATGTCAACTTCACACTAGTGTCAATTTTAACATTTATATACTCTGTGTCCACACACCAGAATTTCCCGAAATTTCAAACACGGAGAAGTGCTTCACTGAACTCAAGAGTAATTAATAAACATTCTCTATCAACTGTAGAGTTTGAAAATAACAAGCTTCAAAATGTAACAGCAGCTGCCCACAATATGCTAGAATCACAGTCATTCAGATCAGATTTAGGTTTATAACCTTAAGGTGCTTTGCACCTTAGCTAAGTACTCACCTTTACACTAAAGTTTGATACAAATTGTATAGAGAAGATAAGCTTGCTTATTTCACTAGACAAACATTTGACAACTGAATATCTAATAAGCAATCACCATGATCAGAAATGAAAGCATTTTCTTGTATTGGTACTATTTTACAGACTCCCATTCTCCTCAGGCAATGAATGAGGCTGAGCCATTCTCATCAATTTGAACACAGATTTAGTTAGACCAAATTAGCAGGGGGTTTGCACACTTCAGCTCTAACAGATGTTCCTTACACTCGTGTATTGTGCCGAAATTAACATCTTAAAACTAGCTAATTTGCAAACAGAAAAACAACATAATTGCACTTTAACAGCTGAACAGTTTTACTTACTTCCTGAGACAAAAATGGGATGACTTGTGCACAAATTGTGTTCAATCTCTTGGCGATTTCTGTCTACAGAGGAAAAGTATTTTGATTAAAAACTGTTTTAGAGATTTTGACATACATTAGCTGGTATGCAGGATTATATTAAGTTCAGATAGTGATAAAAGTAACAAAAAAAATACCCATTTTTCACTCTACTGCAAATGTAAATACTTAATATATAAGCCCAGATGAGAAAAGAGATTTAGTTAGCTACTCTAGGACATCTGCCATGTCTAAAGCACCTAATCTGTCTGTATACACATTTGGGCACAAATCTGGTCCTTGTATAAAGTTCATTAACAAGTAGAGCATTTTTGAAATCCATTAAGTCCCAATTAAAGCCTTTAGAAAGGTAAATTTATTATTACTTAAATTACGAAGCAGCATAACATGAAAGCGACAGGCGTGGAAGAAAAATACTTCTTTCACGATCAATTTTATCTGCCTATTCCAAGGTAAAATTATTTTCACTAACAGAAACACACCATCAGGAGCATAAAATAAATACCAAAACAGAACTAAGGAAGAATGGAGACAAAAAGTACAAACTTCAAAAATCCACACTGAAAGAGAATTGAAATATTGTAGACAATAATTTAAAAAAAACCAAAC